GTTAACGGAGGCTAGGGGTTTGCTGCTTTTTGAGGTGAACGCTAATGGCTAGCAGTTAAGTATCTGCCAGGAGACAGCGGTGTAAAAACGAGCCCGATTGTTTCCTAGTTTTGTTTTCTTAAAACCTGCGTCCGCGTTGAAAGGCCCGCACTTGAGAGAATCGTCCCGTGCCTTTCAAGGGAGGTACCCCTAAGATGAAGCTGTTCCCGCGTTGGCGACGACTTTTAACTGTCACTTGTCTGCAGCTTTCCCTCGTTGGACTTGGAAACCCTCCTCGGGTTTACTTTGTTACGTGTGTGTTAGCAAGCGACAGCTTACGTGTCGTTAAGAAAACACGTTTTGTTTATAATTTAGCAGTGAAGATAAAGCATTTGTAAAACAATTTCAGGGAGCTTGTAACTTGGATGCAACCTTAAGTGTGGGGGTTTTTTTTTATTCTTTCAAATTCTGCTGCTGCTTAACGGAAACTGAGAGATTGCATTTCATTTTGCAAGTACTGAGGAAAAGACCAAAAGAACTGAGGGGGTTCCTAGTTCATTACCTGCATTCTGGGTAGATCGTTGTGGCAAGGCACAGTGACGTGTCTTTAATACTACTGCTGTGTTTTAATCTTAAAGCACTTAATATTCCAGATGAGGCCAGCCTTCCTGCTCTTTCCTCCAGTGTTTTACTACTGTAAATGTCACTGGTCGTAGTCTTTCCTTTCTCACTCATACAGTCTCCCTTGTGCAAGTGTCAATTCCTCTCCCCCCATGTCACATCATTCAAGAGACTGACAGAAACATTGGTCTTGGTTTCTGTATCCGTGATGTCTATTTCAGTGATCTTGTTATAGAAAGATAATAGCTCATTTTAATAAATTATTCTAAAAGAGCTGTACTTGAAGCTGCAATCCAGAAGTTCCTGCTAGGAAAGCCTGCTGAATTTTGTACTTCTTTACAGAGAGTTGCAGAATTAAAAGGCACAAAGCAGACAGCAACAGGTTCAGCTGCTAGTACATCATCTCATCCCGTCAAGAGGAAAACTGTTGACACAGAAAATACAGAATTGAAGAGGGTAAAAGGTAAGGAGAGAAAAATACTTATCGAGCACTTGCCAGAATCTAGCCATTTTACATCTTGAATGTTTTTGGTTTGTTTTTTTCCTATGGAAGTGAGTGTGAATACACAAGACTTTGTTGAGTTAATGTCAGCCTGTTGCTGCTGAAAAGGGAAAAAGTTTGTCTTGCTCTTTCTCTGTGAGTTCACTGATCAGGAGAAAACTGCACTTTTGGTAGTTTACCTAGTTTTCTTCTGGGTTATTGGGTTCAATTAGGTCATGGGGCTGTGGGCTTGGTCAAAACAGAACTAGAAACAGTATAAGTTAAACAGTAGACGCGCTTGCTCAGAAGTGGTGTTATTCCTTTTCAGTGGGATCAAGCCATTGGATTACCACAAATCACGCATGAAAGTTCATGCTAAAAGAAAGATAGTTAATTTTTTTCCCTTGGTGTTACTGGACATGTAAATATATGAAATACATGAAAGTGGACATTTGTGAACTTGCTGCTGTTGTAAGACTTTATTTGAGGGATATCTTTTTAAAAGTATGGGTTGTAAGAAGTGACTCTTGGCTGTTACACAGGTACGGACGAAAAGCCACATACGTCTACGTCTGGGTAAGCAGATCTTATTACATGTGTTCTTTTTGTAACTGTACCAGCCGTTACATTCTCACCCTGTTTTTCCTCATCTCTCCTTCCTAGCCAAGGGTAAAGATTCAGAGAATCAGCAGATCCCTGCTTCTGCTCATTTTCTAATGTGGGTGTATATTCCTGAACATGGCAGCATCTTCCTCAGTGCAGATGAGAAAATCATGGTATTAACTCTAGGGTCTGTGACAAAACAGGAATTATTCTACTGTCACTATCAGACTTTTAAAGATTAGTATGTGGTGGTAGTACGCAGTTTGCTAGAATGAAAATAACTAGATTGTGGCATGCACTCTAATCTTCAATGCTAGCATACTGCACAAGAGATGGTAGTCTGAAATTAAGACAAATTTTAAATGTACATTTAAATGATATTTATTCACAAAACTACTAACTAATGTCATCAACAGATGTTTGTGAAGATGTTTTTGTCACTTAAAATTCATGTAAATGCATATCTTGCAGTTGAACTCTCACAAATATAGGAGTGTATTTGACTTCAGGGGATTGGGTTAAGCATCTTACTGCCACTAAAGATTTTTGATGGTATTTGGATATCTTTGTGGGGTCGGTAGATGTTACACAAGGCCTGGAGGTCTCCTGTACACTTCTTCACAGGATAAATTATTATTATCCTGCATAGATACTACGTGCTGTTATCTTGACGCTAGAAGATGCTTACCTTGTAGAAATTTTGAGTGTGCAAAATTAACAGTTGAGTGGTTTGTTCTTTATTAAACCAATCAGTATGATGATTTTAAAATATAACCTGGAAAAATGTTTAGCTTGGAGGCCTGCAGGTATTCTAAGCAAATCTGGGTTTTCTCATTGCTGAACCTGTGTGGCCCTTCTAAGCTGCAGTTCTGAGCCGCAGTAGATACCCCAAATAAGTAGCTGTGTTTATACATGAAGGTTATCAACGTTTACGTGACATTAATACGACCGCTGAACTATGACTTTTGTATTTAATGTGTTTGCAGCAGGTATACAGACGCAAATAACTTTGAATGTGGAAATAGAGTTACCTAAGCTGCCATTCCTCCAAATGCACTTTGTTACAGGATATTTTTATTAATGTTTCTGATATTGAATATTCAAACACAAAAATGGATCTGAAATGTGTTTTCAGAATTAATCTGAGCATTTGTGGGGAACTTAAAAAAAAAAAAAAAAGGAACAAGTATGTGCTGCCTTCAGACAATGGTTACATCGGTAGCTGTGCAGTTTAGGGTATTGCACAATATCTAAAAGATCGTATTGCTCACAGATTGAATAGGATTCGGATGCTAGACTGTAACTGATTTTTGTGAAGTTTGAAATAGTTCTGTTTTGTGTTCTTTACTAGGCTACCAGCAGATTTTTTTGATGAAACAGAGCAAGATAGTGCAAACAAACAGCTTTCAAAGGGTTCAGGTCCCAGTTTATTGTCAGGAAATTATGATGATGATGATGATGAAGAGGAACAAGATCAATCAAACAAATCTTGTGTTGTGCATAATACTGAAATTCCACCTCCAACTCAAGAAGTAATAGCTAATTCTCTGCCTGCAGGTAATGATGCCTGAAATAGTAAGTGATTCAGTAAGAAGAAGCTGTGTTTTAACTGATGATGGAAGGGTTTTAATTTATTTTTCTAATTATTGCTATTAGCTGGTTAGGGTGTGTTATATTGGAAGTAGAGAAAGGAGATTCTCTGCTGGTTTGTTATTGTGTGGTGTTTTCTGAGCATGCTTATTGATTTTATGTTCTAATTGTTTGAGGCTGTCAAGTGAAACAATGTCTGGCTGTTCTTCCCTTGATTCAGTAAGGTATTCATTGAAATTACTGTCTACTGGCTAGTCAGAACTATAAAGAAGCTTGAACAGTTCTTTTTGTTCATTGACTTCTGTCCTTTCTTGTAGACTTCTTTGACAGCAAAACTACAGCTGCTCCTATAGTTTCCCATTCAGGGACCATACAGAAAGCAGAGATACAAGAAAAGATAGTGGAAAGGTAAGCAGTCAAATCAAATACTGATAAATTTGGGACTTGTAAGTAAACATTATCCTTCCCGGAAATACGGACTGTGATCACTTAAAAATCTATCATATTGGTAACTTGTATTTGGAATAGTTTGCATATACATCAGCATCGAGCATTATTTCAGACAGGTATTTCGCACCCTAAGGGCAGGATAAGAGATGGAGTAATGCCATATGGTGTCTGTTAAACATCTCCATTTGCAATTTTTAACACAGGATACTTCTGAAGCTTAGTGTCAACCACTGGTTTTGACTGTTTAAAGAAAGCCATTTGCTTGTTCTGTAGTAATGGTTCAGCTCACTTGGGCGCTTTCTTAGACAGTGGTTTAGGCTTTCAAAAGTAGAGACTGTGCTGTTAAAATGTTTGGGTGCTCAACACACTGGAAAGAATAATTTAAGAAGCCTAAGCTCTTGTTTTGACCTGTGGGGTTTAAACCTGTCTGTGCAGTCCTTGTAAGTTAGATAACTTGCTTCTTCAGTTTGGTCTTTTGATGGTTGTAGGTAAAACTTGGGGCGTAAAAAAAACTTGCTTCATTTCTAGGTCCTTTTATAAAAGATTATGGATTTTATTCTTGACTATTTTTAACTCTACAATAAAGCAGGTTGCAAAGTGTTAACTCGGGATAATAGTAATCAAACATTTCAGGAAAGAAAACACCGCTGAAGCTTTGCCAGAAGGTTTCTTTGATGATCCTGAAGTGGATGCAAAAGTAAGTGATCTGCTCATTTGATGCTGCTGGATTTTTTTCTGCCAGTTGTAATGATTTTCTGAGTAGTGAAGATGCTTTTCCAGGTAATTAGTCATACCAGAATATAAGAAAATGACTGAACTATTTTGGTTTGTATTAATTAGAAGACATGAAAAGGGGCAGAGAGGGGCAAGAAGAGCTTGTTAAATCATCTCTCAGAGCATATTTTTGATTGTGGTGCCTTTGTGGCTCTTAAAGAAAACTAAAGAAGTGTTATTTGTTGGCTAAAACGCCGGACTGAGATTTGGACAATCCACCTGTTACTTTTATTTCTTTGAGTCACCCTGGGAGAAGCGTTTCACTGAATTTGTACATCCAATTCTGCCTCTGAATTGAGGATATAAAAACAGTTCTCTAACGTCCTTTGAGAGATCCTGTTGAAAAGTGTTAAGAGTTACTATGCAACTGATACTATGCATCCTGTTAGAATGAAAATAGGTAGATTATTGCATATACCGTGATCTTTAGTACTGGCATACTATAACAGTGGTCTTGGTTTTCAACCCTCTTGTCTTCTACTGTTACGGGGTTTTTTGATGCTTGGAAAAGAAAAGAAAGGTGCACATTCAATGTGTTTGTCAAAAAAATCACAACTAAAAATCTTGGAATTTTGATCGAAATCATTCATACTTCCTTCAACTTGCACAGTACCAAATGACGACCAAAATAAACAGATATTTGAAATACAAAGCTTTTTTTTTTTGTAAAATTTACCACAGATTTGATGACTTTTCCTGCTTGCTTTATTGAAATAATACTGTGGTAGGCTCAAAGTCTTTTGTATTTTCCTTGAGTATATTTCCCTATTTTTCACACTGTGGAAGGCTGCTGGTATATTTACATTGAGTTGAGTCATGACTTCTGATTTGGAGACCTTCCAAATAATGCTTCTTTACATTCAGTTAGTTCCACTGTCACAATTACAAGCTTAGGTGTGTCTTAGTTGCTCTGGCAAGATTCTTTTGGCACCACTCGTGCCCACATGTTGGCATATGTGAATAGTTTTGAATAATGACATTCTGGATATTGAGTTATGTAGCTGAAAAAAATGCACTTTTTTTTTTTTTGCATATGACTAATTGGTATGCTACACTTTTCAAATACTTGGTTTCACCACGAGTTGGGAAGTTTGTAGAAAGCGGGAATGTCTAGCAGGCAAAGGAGAATCTGCTTGTATCTGTGAGGACACTGGTTAGTGATCTTTGTTCTGGTCATCGCCTCAGCTGATAAAATTTACAAGTGGATACGTGTTCCAATAAGCTCTTCCTTGAATTGCTTGCAGGTACTCTTCTCTTTAATCAGCCCTTTCTAAGTTTAGCTAAAATGCAGGGGAAGGAAAATGTTTGTGACATTGCTTATGTTGTGATTGCTGCAGTGATTCTGTGTTGGAATCATACACAAATAATTATTTTCAGAATTAACAGTGAGCTTTTTGGAAGGGAGATTGTGGGCTTGAAAAATGTTGGTTCTTTACATCAGGAATTTATAAAGCGCATAAACTCTGGATTAGATAAATATTTCAAGGAAAAATAATATCTTTAGTCTTTAAATTTATTGTAAGAAATACAAATAATTATGAATTACAAAAGACAACCACAATGCGTAATAACACAGTACATACACATATGATAGAAATAATCACAGAACAGAAAAATGAAATGACGACTATAACTTCCCAGTACGTAGTTTGCTTGGAAGCTTCTAATTTATTCTATAAACTTAATTCATACTACTGGATTTTGTATAATCGTTCAGGAACAAAACGTACCAAACTGTTGTCTTTACCATGATGATGACTGATGTGTTACCAAAAGAGAGGAATGAGTAAAGGAAAAATAAAACTAATGCAAAAAGATGATCTCATGAATTATTCTGTTCAAACTGCTTAGTTCTCCCAGCTATATAATTTCCACCCAGTCCAGAGCCAGGCATAATCTGTCATGTAACGTATGTGTTATGCCACATCTTACAGTCTTGAATTGTGGAAGTTTTGGTTACACAGGTAGATTATCTTGCTTATTTGCTTGTATTAAAAGCACAGTCTGGTTTTGATTACCTCAGTTGTAGATCTTAGACACATTCTTACAGCTACTTGCTTTTTCAGTCTTTTTGTCTTAGTAATTAATGCCGTCTACCACAGAAGAAAAAGCTTTGCATGCCGTTAAAATTGGTAGGCAGCTGTACTATTCCTTCTGTTAGCCAACAAAATTAGACTAGATTTGAAACATAGTCAGACTATCTAACACCAGTCAGACTAGTGACTGAATCATTTGATATTTTATGTTATGCCAAAGGCAAATAATTCACTCCTTTTTGGCTTGTGAGATAGCTACTATATATGATTGAACAGGCAGCTTACAGAAGAATTTAGAAGTTAACCGCCTGACATAGTGAAATTACAGACCATCAAATTAACAGACTTAGTCACTTTTTTTAATCCAAACATTCCACACTATCCATTCTTAGTCAATTATTCTTTAATGCCAGAGTCAAGGATGTTGTTTTAATCCAGGAGTAGAGTCAGATGTTTTCCTCCAAAACCATTGTGCAGCTGCACTCTCTTGTTCATATACATTACTTAAACGGAATTACGTTGACCAGACTTTTCGGAGAACACAGCATAATTTGTCCTGTTTCTCCAGGTGTTTTACAGTGCCCCAGATTGTCACTGATGTAAATTGTTAATAAGCCTGTTTTTTCATGTTCCTTAGGTGCGAAAAGTTGATGCTCCAAAGGATCAGATGGACAAAGAATGGGATGAATTTCAAAAGGCAATGCGACAGGTCAACACGGTAAGTAATGGAATCTATTTTTATTGATTCTAAATACTATACACAATAAGGAAAACAACAGTTTCATGCAGCTCTGCAGAATGACTGACATCTGCATTTGTCAGTTGTTTGTTGCAATGCAGTGTGTAGTTAAATGCACTTTACAAATGAGCAAAGGGTTCCTTCTGTTTTCCGCTTAAGGGAAATTAATTTGAAAAAACTTTCTATCAGGATCCAGTCATCAATATATATCTAGTTACATTTGTTAAATTGTATTTAAATAAGATAGCATATACCTCAGATCAGCATCCTGAGGTGTGTTCTGTATCCAAACAGGACATAATTGTGGGCTCTTATTTAGCTGAGATATATTCATGTTTTAACCTTGAAAAAAGCAGAACACAACACCATCTGTTTGTCTGTCTTTTTCAAAAAGGATCTATAAAGTGTAGGTAACCTGCGTTTTATGGTTGATTTAAATGTTCTGGAAAGGAGCCCCAAAATTTGGGAAAGTGACAGAAGATTTTGTGTGTGTGAGACCTAAGTTGGCCTAATTTTTATGTACTTCCATTTTTTACTGTTTAGCATTGCATGGAAAAGTCTTCCCGTGCTTTTTGTACAATACAAAACACTCATTACAGATACCTGGTGTTCTCAGTCTTCCCCTAGAGTATTTGCTAGTTTTTTAAATTTTAATTGTAAATAATTGCTCGTATGTCAACTGCTAAGAAAAGTGGTGCAAAAAAACTTATCATTGCTCATTTTAAAGTGGTCAGCACTGTAAACAGAGCGAATGTTCATACAAAAGCAGTGGTAGATACATTTTGCTAGCATTAGCCATTCAGATAATTCTTCAGCTTAGAAGGAATCTTCTCAGTTATGCGTGGACCATTGATTGCATAGCATCTCCCAGACATTCAGATTTGAGAAAGTATATGCTGAAAAAAATAACAGGTTAGAAACACTTCGGGATCTAGTGGGAATATTTAACCAATACTTTCAATAAGCTTGTGTAATATAGTCCCAAGCATTGGGATATAGCTCCTATTTCAGCCTCAGACTTTGGATGCGTGTAGTTTGTTTATGCTCAGTTTCAAATAGTAGCGTATTGAAAAATTAAAAAGGTTAACCCCAAAGCAGCCAAACTACTTTTAACTTTTAGTTTTAGGAAAAAGCATTTCCATTTCAAATTAAACCAGATCCGTTTTTTTCTGTATTTGCCTCCAGAGTCTTTTGTGAAGGTGGGAGTATATGTATAGGAGATTGACACTGGCTTGAGGTAGAGGGGAGGAAGGGAAGACACAGACATCAAAAAGGAACAACAGTGAAATTCAGGATGAAGGTGAATTTTCTTAGCGCTTTTCTGGTTTAGATTTCAGAAGCAATAGTGGCAGAAGAGGATGAGGAGGGACGACTAGATCGTCAGATTGGAGAAATTGACGAACAGATGTAAGTAGATCAATTTTTCCTCAAACTTTCTGTTCTCCAGCAGTAATGGATCACTATTTGACTAGAGTGATAAAAACGTTTTTAATTTTAATCTTCTGTGATACTACCTTTCATTAATCACCTAAATATTTGAAGGAGAAAGACAGGCTCCCTCAAATTGCAGAATGATACCTAATAAAAACATGAATTTTGGTGCAAAGTTACGTAATTACTTGCAAAGAGAGAATGCGCTAGAATTACTGAAAATACAGCAAGCAGGCATGGGCAAAATAAAGCAATAGACAGCAAATTCTTTGAACAAACTGTCCCCCTTCGCCCTCTCAGATGTCTTAATTTGTATTTCTCTGTGAATTCTGATTGATGTTGAACTTACGTGAACACTTTTAAAAAAACAAGGTCTGATATTCTGCACTGCAATTAAAATTTCGATAACGAGATTTGTGTTTTGACCATCCATTTGCTGTACTGAAAATGCCCTGTTCTATGACTAACTCTTCTTGTTTCTAATAAAAGTTTACTTAAAGGTTTTGCTGAATGATGCACTTCATTACATGAAGTGGGTTGTTTTGTTGAAATGGTAGGTGTAGTGGTTGGATAAGCATTAGTTTAAACTCTAAGTAACCTGAAATACAGCTTAGTAGAACAGATGGTTACCATTCTCATGTAGCTTCACACATTGATTAACAGCGATTATGGCAATGCTAGTGATTGGAGAAAAAAAAAAAAAGATGAATTCTGATTTTAATGAACCTTGCAACAAAAAGAAGACACTAAAAATTAAAGCAACACTTAAGCCACCTGGCCAGACTTACATGCTACAGATAATCAGCGTATAATAACAATAGCATTGGGATCAAACTGAGCTTTGGTAGTACAGGGATGTCTTTTAACAATGTTCGTGTAATTTTGGAGAGGGCTTGAGCTAAACCTGGCTGCCTTTGAGCATTCACTTTTACCAGTAGCTTAGGATGCTATAGTATGTAGAACCAAATTCAGAAATTTGTAGAGAATTTCAAGTTTGTTACCGTAATAATTTTTCCCAAAATAAAAGTTCCAAATAGATTTTTAAAGACTGTTTTTGTAGCTTTGTCTTCTGAGTGCATTTAAATGCAGGCTATTTCGAATTAAATTCAAAATCAAATTAATTCCAGTTACGTTCATGTTTTCCTTAGCCTTCAAATCTTCAGCTGTGCCTGCCTGTAAGTAATCGTGTTGCAGATATGCAAGGGGAAACAGGATCCAGATAATAATCTTTCCTTGTTGACTCTTCCTAGCAAACAGGAATGAAAGAAGCAAAGATGTATTTAAATCAGGCTGATGCTACTTGGCATTTTCAACAAAATACCCTGTTAGAATGGCTAGAATAATTGTTATAAAACATGTTTCAAGGACAGAACTTTTTAAGTAAGTGGAAAACTGAAACTCGTGGATTATGTTTACTTAAAATGTTCTGTTATAGCACACAGTAAGCCAATAAAGGATCGGAACACTTGTGCTGCCTTTTTGTTTTCAGAGATGCCATCATGAAGTTATCAAAATTGATAGCCAATTGATATCTCACCTTTCTACCGTATATGAAAACCATAAGTGGAGCAAAGAATGGCGTCTCTTCTTGTATGGAAGTGGATATTGGTTCTGTGCTTTTTTTAAAATGATTTGTGGTGGTATTGCAGTTGTGAAATATTTGGGTTAGATCTCATTACTAGAGAATTGACCGCACCTCGCCTCTGGTCTGTTTCCACTTGATTAATACAGAGAAGGTGCACTAGCATATTGAAAGCTTATTTTTTTAATTGATGGGAAGCTGTGGAGCTTTTTTTTTATCCAAAGTTGGAGAAGCAAAATCCAGCACTGTAGAAAATCCAATTAATGCGGAAAGGCCACAAGTATTAATAGGTGGTTTACTTTTCAACAGTGAATGTTACCGCCGTGTTGAGCTTTTGCGTAACCGTCAGGATCTGATGAAGGAGAAGTTAAAGGAAGCCATGAGATTAAGAGCAGCTCAAGAGAGAGAGGACGAGGCTATTGGTAGCGAAGATGAAGAAGAATTGCAGGATTTGCTGTCTCAAGACTGGCGGGTGAAAGGGGCTTTGTTGTAGCATTTCTGCAACATGGCTGATACTCTCTTTATCTGTGATTTTACTTCCATTGTTAGAAGCAAGATGCTTTTGTTAAATATTTATTTAAAGAGGATCGTGAGGTGGTAAAGAGCCAAGTGTATTAAAAAAAATAATCTTTGTAGATCTACAATGGTGTATTACTTGCTGTAAAAACTGTATATTGCAAATGTTTTACAATATTGAATGTACCTTTCCTATTAAAATTATTGGTTTCCTACCAGAGGTATTTTAATGGGATTAGTAATTAACTGAAGAATCTCTAAGGTTTTGGAAGCATTAGATATATCTGGTAACTTTGAGACTTGGATTATTGTGTATAGAAGTAAAGGACTAGCAAAAGTGATAGTGTATGGAGTTTTCCCAGATTGGGGGGTTAGGGAAAGGAAAATACTAGGCATTTATGTTATCTTAAAATTTGTAAGTGCTCTTCTGTCCATTGCCCCAGCTCCCAATAAAATATGTACATTTTTTTCAGGATCTGTTACAGTTTCTGTGTGTATGTAGGGCCAAGCTCAGAAACTTGGAGCTACAGCTTCTGCACAGTGTATGCTCTGTGATGTGCCATAGGCAGTGCTGGGTATTTTTCTTTATAGTATCTTGTTTTGCTTAGCGCAGCCATAGTTTAGCATACCTCACATTTCTTGAACCAGAGGGATGAAAACGCAATGGTTACATATTTGCATAACTAAATGAAAGGGTGACAAAACGCCAGAGGGGAAGGTACTGCACTGGAAACTGATGAGGTAAAATAATTTATCTAGCTGCAAATACTGGAAGTTTTCTTAAGATATTATCGTAGGCACAGAGAGCATCTAAAATTGATTTCTGTTCTGATAAACACAGATGAAGTAAACTCAAGAACCAAGAAACTTGACAAGATTGGGACGTGGAAAACACAACTACCTTGAGCTTTGGTAAGTGGTTGGGTTTTTTTATGAAGCATATTTTTTTACTTTTGCAAATCTTAAAACATTTCAAATTTGCTGAGGACTTTTGAAAAAGGACAAAGTGTGGTTTAATTTTTATCAAAAAGTAAAGTTGTGAAGGAACAGCTTAACATTTTCCTGTTTTAAAGATTCTAGTTTTAAAACAAGTTAGTGAGGTTTTAAGGGAGAAAACAAGCTTTGTTCTTATGAGAGCATTCTAGATGCTTGCCTCAAAGATGTTTATTAACCAAGCAATAAAGAGAAAAACTAAAGCTAGATGTTTGATTTGCTTGTTTTGGAAGAAAGACTTGATATGGTAGGAGCCCTTTCCATATTGTGAGATGCTTTTTTACCACTCCTGGCTTCCATGATCCTTGGGTTCAGCTCTTTATAAAGCTGTCAAAATTCAAGCAATGGTCCTTAGCAGTTTGGTGCATCCACTTATTCCTGCTCACACATGCTGGCTTACAGCCGTTGTTTTTTGGTTGATTTAATAACCATAAGCCTAAGTAGGTGTTACTGCTAAAATGTTTGACACAACACTGCAGTCTTACATGAATTAGTACTGTTGTTGAGATAGCAACATTCAGAGAGTATTGAAATACAGAAACATTCAGGGAGTATTGAAACAAATAATGAATGTTTTGACAAGTTGGAGAAAACTTAGTTGGGCCAAAACTGAAATAAAATTTCCTTCTATAGCGTGAAACATTTGAGTATCAATGTATAAGGCGCCTGTTGCGCTGTAGTGAAAGATCTCTAGATCCATTTATCACTATGAAGAGAACTTTCAGCTGAGAGGGTGGTACAATATTAGCAGATGGACAGTTTTTTTTCCAGAACAAAACAAAAGTCACTCCCCCAGTTTCACTCTCAGAAGAGCTAAGCTAAGTTTGTAATTGTTCTGCTTATCTTTACTTTTCACTCACTCATCAAAGTATACTAGCTTGCTAA